AATTTGTGTGCTTGTCTTTTGGCCTTTCCACATCTCCAGATTCCACATTTCAAAAACTCTTCTTCCAGGCATTGCAATTCTTTACCAGTGAGGCCTGCAGGTGTTTCACTTTTAAAACAATATTCTTGTAGTGGCACAGCAGCCCCACATTCTTGTACAGCATAGTGACGTCTTCGTACAAATGTTGGAAAAATTAGGCTAGGTCACCAACTGGAAGAAAAGTCAGATGCCAACTATTCTCATTATCGATTAATCGTTTGTTGCAGCCATATTTTAAACCTGCGCTTTAAGTTTCTGTCTGGTTTCTTGGTTCCCTGACATGAACGCAGCATACCAAGCCCTCAAAGCATTTGCAGGTTTGGTCAGACGAAAGCCTAAATTGCTAAAAATGGACAACAAAATGTTGTATATCCATCATCAGGGGGGTACTTGAAGTTTCTTGCTGTTAAGGGAAGTATCAACAGTAAACCATATAGGCCTAGGAGAACCTGGTAAATCTCACCTCCTCTTACATTCCAACTGTCCAAAATGTCTTAGTGGATGCCATGAGCCACAAGATGCTGAACAACAATGAATGGTCACTGAATCAGTGAGTAGTCTTACAGATTTGCAACAAACAAAGTTTCCAGACCCGGTACTTATGGTGACTTCTGCCAATGCAAACTGCAGACATTTTTTAGCCAGAGTCAAATTTCAAACAGCAAATGTGGTGGATGCTTTGATGAGCTAGTTGAATTGCAGGCTAGCCTATGTCTTTCCACTAGTGCTATTTTTTTTTTTTTCTTTTAAGTTCTCAACAAGATACACACATAGTCAGGGACAATGTAGGCATGCATTCTGTTGGCTGTGCAGGCCTTGGTAGCTGCTGGTAGCTGCTTCTGCAATCTCTAGCACTGGTTCAAGACTTTTCAAATTTCAGACAAACAGATCTTCTGTTGTCAGGTATCAACTCTGTGCTAGAGATGTTTATCAGCTGGGACTGAGCAAGGGGTTAGAACACCAGCACCCATTAGAGTGCAAAGTCTTGGTGCTATCATCTCTTCCAGGCAAGTGGTGGAATTCGTCCAGCAAGAAGATTCATTAGTCTTTCTTGGGATCTACAGGTAGTACCAAACGTGCTTTCTAACCTGCCATTCCTTCTTGAAGAGCAGAGTTTGATATGAATCATGACATTGAAGGTGGTGTTTCTAACTCTGACCTCGGGCAAATAGGCAAGCAAACATATTTTTATAAATTTCCTGACAGAATAGTTTTGAGGCCTCTTCCTTGGTTTCATCCCAAAGTGTGTAGACTATTTTATTTATATCATGACATTGTTCTTATAACATTCCAGAGTAAATCTTTAGACGCCCCACAAGCCTTGGATGTGGGTGCAACCCTATTTGGACAACCTCATCCTTCAGAACTGCAGGCAATCTGTTTGTCATACCTGATGGGGCTAGAAAAGGGTGCCCAGGGTCAGCTCGGACTAATGCATCATGAATGGTCAAGATGATTGGAAAGGCAAACCTTGCCAAGAACCTAGACACACCAGATAACCTCAAGGCCCACTCCACTAGAGTGATATTGTCATCTTGGGAACACATATGCAGAACAGCGACCTGGTCAAAATATACGGTATTAAATTTTCACTGGTGCGAGTGCAACAGTACGTCGGTGAAGGGGCATCTGATGTTGGAGCTTCCTGAATGGAAGTAACACAGACACAGCCATACAAGGGTTTCTGGGAAGTGGTGTTCAGCTTAGAGCAAGGGCAGCAATGATAAACCCCCTTTTTGGTGTCAATAATAATAAACACTCCCTTCATTGATGTGAGTTACAGTAATCATAAACGCCCTTTCATTAGAGTCAGCGACAGTATCATTAAAAAATTTACCCCCGAAATTGTCGTTCAGTGGCATTGTCAGCAAAAAATCCCCCTTTCACTGGCGTTCAGTGGCAATGTTAGCAATAGATATCCCCATTCATGGGTGTCAGGGGCAGCAATAAAGACCTCCCCCAACTGATCTTCAGTGGCATTGTCAGCAATAAATATCCCTTTCTTCATGGGTGTTCAGTGTCATCAAACCATATCCCCCCAATGGTGTTCAGTGGCAGAAATAAATGACTTGGAACAAAAAAGCAGGGGTGCAGTCTGAAAAGGTTGGGCTCTTAAGGCCTGGTCACACCAGATGCAGTGGGAGGCATTTTTTAATGGACTTCTACTGCATAGGCCAGGGATGGAAAACTCCAGCCCTGCAACGCAAGCCAATGGTGTGAACTATGCTCATTAGGTAATGTGTGTTTTTGACTGTCTATGTGAGGGGTGGGCAACTCCGGCCATCCAGCTGTTGAACTACAAGTCCCATGAGGCATTGCAAGACCCACAGTTACAGGCATGACTCCCAGAGGCCAAGGCATCATGGGATTTGTAGTTAAAGCACAGCTGGAGGGCCGGAGTTGGCCACCTCTGCACGACACCTACAAATTGCATCCTAAAAAGGTTGAAATGAATAGCGGGGCCCCAACCAAAAACAAACCAAACCGTTCTATAATTCATACATAATAGCAGCCATGATGTAGAGGAAGGAAAATATCATAGTTACTCAGTAAAGTAAGTGATCAATGAGCCACATAATCAAATGAGAGAGTGAGAGAGTATATTGTGCCAGTTCACTGATTATAAATGAAAGATGTTTAATTGTATCTAAAACTCACCAAACACGTTACAGACACACATACGCTACAAAGATTAAAGTGCAACTCAAGCTGAAACCTTTTTTTTAGGCTTGGATAGAGTAGAGAGGGATTCAAACCCGTTAGGTTTTTATTAGGGCTAGTAATTATTAAAATTTTCGTATTCGATTAATCGAAATTTTTTTGAATAGATTATTTTCGATTAATTATAACGCACATACAGATCCAATTACATTGGCCTATACACATACAGTACAGCAATGAAGTAATAAAATGAACTAGGATCACACTAATCTAGCACGTTATTAATCTCATGTGCCCCACTCAATATGGCCGCCGCTTGAGTGGGGCAACTCAGAATAATAACGTGCTGGATTAGTGTGATCCTAGTTCATGTTATTACTTCATTGCTGTGCTGTATGTGTATAGGCCAATGCCTTGGCTGGCGCTCGTGCAGAAAGTTTCTTGGGCAAACTCAAGTGGCTCTGTCGGCTAACGAAGGGGGGAGGAGTCCGGTGACGTCACGGACATCGACGTCACCGGACTCCTCCCCCTTCCCTTCGTTAGCCGACGGAGCCACTTGGGGAAGGGGGGAGGAGTCCGGTGACATTGATGTTCGTGATGTCACTGGATCGCCGACGGGACTCCCGGAAGCCGGCAGAGAGGTGAGTGTTTTCATTAGCAATCAAAATAATTGTAATCGATCAAAAAGTTTAACGATTAATTGAGAAATTAATCTTTCATTTCCACAGCCCTAGTTTTTATTGCTGTCTGTGTCCCCATTAGGAGATTAATCCTCTCTATTTGTTCCGGTAGTCACCAGAACAGGAATAGATGGGAAATCTTCCAATCGGAACAGTGGTTCTGGTGACTCTGCTAACCACCAGGGATTTCCCTCCCTTTGGAGGGATTTCTTCTCACTTCCTGTTGTTGCTATCAGACAGGAAGTGAAGGGAAATCTCTCCAATGTTACCAACCGGAAGTGAAAGGAAATCTCCCCAATGATACCCAGATGGTAAAAAAAGGCTGTCAGGAGTTATAACCTCCCTTACTCGTAGTTATAACCCTCCCTTACTCGTAGTTATAACCCTCCCTTACTCGTAGTTATAACCCTCCCTTACTCTATCCAAAACTAAAAAAAAAAGTTTTAGATTCAGTTCTATTTTAAAGTTGGGTATACACATCAAAGGAGATGGGCAGACAATTGTTGGCTGAACAGTGCCTAGCATCCAGTCAGATGCAGGCACTGTTCAGGCATTTTGACAGCTGGTGGGGCTGACCGTCAAAAAAAAAGGTGCAGCGTTTAAAGTGGATGGAGGAATTTGCTAGTTTTTTTCCCCACTCAACCTGGAAACTGAAGGAAAACAATCTAACATTGTATACTAGTTATAGATCTGTGAACAACTATGCATGCAGTGGTGTCACAAGAGGGGTGTGGGGGGTACGGCCCGCACCTGGGTGACACCATTAGAGGGGGTGACAAATAAATGACTGACAGTCATTTTGGTGTTCAGTCATTTTGGGCTGTGCGGGGGGTGAGGCCCACACCCGGGTGACACCATTGGAGGGGTGACACCAAAATGACTGACAGTCATTTTGGTGTCACCCCCCTCTGAAAAGTCGGGCGCTCGGTCATGGACCAAACGCCCGACAGTAACAGGAGAGAGAGGAGGGGACCCGGTGGCATACCTTATCCTGCCAGGTGACTGTCCCCTCCTCTCTCTGCCGGCGTCCATCACCAAGATGGCGGCCGGCAGGTATCAGAAGATCGCCGCACCTACGCGATGGCGTCTCGGCGAGTATGCAAGACTCACAGCCACAGGCATGACTCCCAGAGACAGATGCATCATGGGATTTGTAGTTTCACCAGAGCTGGAGTGCTGAAGTTGCCTAGTGCAAGGGTCTGTCTAGTTGCATTGGTTAGTTCGCAAAGGTGTGAATATTACATAGTTTTGGCAAATCTTACGTTTATTGCATAAAGACTTTATGTACAAATTGCAATGTGCATGGCAACCCTAAGCCTGGAAAAATGCACAAACGTATAAGGAGTTCTGAGGACATATTTCATGTATACTAGACAGACTCAATAGATCGGGCCTCCAGATAGATCTTCTTCCCCTAAACAATCCATTTCCTGGATATACATCATTTAGAATGTTTTGTCATCCAATAATCTAAGGTGCTCATAGACTACACTGGGCTGGAACCTATACACCTAATCGACCAGCTGATGGCAGCACTCTCGGATTCACACACTTCTCATTCGTCCAGGCAGTCCTTCTTGCTTTAGAAAATGTCCCAATCGGCCGCGCGGCAGCCTACATACTGAGCATGCGCAGTATGCACGGCCTTTTCCCAGTTCTCCAGCGCCCTTACGTGAGCGCTGTGACTCTCCGGTCCTAGCCTCGACGGGACAAAATCCGGCAAAATGGTTCGTAAACCGGCTCAATATCACCGGCAATAAATAGCTTTGTGTTCCCTTCAGCGCGCACGGCGATTAGGAGGCGCTGGGACGCCCGGTGCGGATTGGATGGCTTTAGATTGTTGTGAGTCTCGGCGGCTTCCAGCGTGGCCTAATGGCCGCTGCAGTGCTGGGCCGGCCGGCTGCTCGGCTCTCCTCCAGTAGTGACTGGTCACGTGTGTGCTCCCCCTCTGCCAGTCTTCTATGTATGTCTGCGGGGAATTATTTTATATTGTCCCGTGTGTTGTGTACACGTATGTGTGTCATCACTTCTCTGCTGGCAGTCACTGCTGATGTGCCCGCTGCCACTGTGATCTGTAATAGCCTATAGAAGTCTGTTTATCGATAATGTCTAATCCAGTGATTGCCAACGTGGGGGGCTTTCAGTGTGGCTCCTGGGGGACTTTAAATGTGGCCCCTGATGTTTAAGGCCTGCATGTCAGAAGTATTTTATGTAATGCTACAGTCCTAGAATGAAAGCTCGCTGGAGGAATTGGTTGGATTGTTGTACAGGAGTGGTTGGAGAAGGAAGGCATGCTGGGAGACTGGGGGAATGTTGCCTGCTATTAAAGGCCCATGTACAAGTCAATGCTGCCACTACTGACTGTGCTGGTCTTGAGGGCCGCACTTCAAAACACTAGTGGGGCTGCATGTGGCACTTGGGCTCCAGGGGCCTGAAGACTGAGCAGGCTTGATGGCTTCTCTGATGTGCAGTGAAAGCTGTGTACACAGGATTGCTGAGGCCTGATGAAATCTGGTGCCTGCTCCTATGGGAGGAGGGGGCGGGGGTCGCCATGTTGGTGCACACACGTTCTGAGCCAGCCCTGTGTTTAGGTCCCTATGCATTTAATGCTGTATTGCTGCCCCTCTATCTAATCTTGTGTACATTCTAGTATTGTATGCTAGATGGAGGTGTCACTACATTGATGCATCAGAGAATTGCCATGATGTATTTCGGGTACCCTTCCTGTCACTTGTACAGTTGTTGTCCTGTCACTTTTTTATGGTGGTTGTCATCTCTTACACACTGTATCTAAAGCTGGGAAACACTAACATCACTGATGGGTTTCTTGTGTGTCTATGACCATTCAGTGAGGTTTTACATCACTTCCTGTCTGCAAACCGACGTGTGATCTTCTGCCAAGAAATGAGAATTCTTTTTAGACAGTTGTCACTGGAATGGGTGTCCCCTTCATAAGATCCCTTCTTGACTTCCGTTCTAGTGACAACTCCACATGTTGGATTCTCGCGTTTCAGTCCTAGTGAAACTAGTCACAGGAAACATAGAAGCTGTGGAAGGGGACAACCTCTGTTGGGCCTTGCATGTCCAAAAGGCAGCACATTGTTTCCATACACCAGTGTTCTACAAATTGCTGTTTTTTTGTTTTTGTTTTAAAGAGACGTCTTTTCTGACGATTACAATTCTTCTCTCTTATAGGGGTTTGTAAAAGTTGTGAAGAACAAGGCTTATTTCAAGAGGTACCAGGTTAAGTTCCGCAGAAGGAGAGGTGAGTAGGTTGCTTCCTCTTTGTTGCTTTCTGGGGTTCACTTATTAGACGCATTCAATTTACGAGGAGTTTCTTTTTCAGAGGGCAAAACTGACTACTATGCCCGCAAAAGACTGGTCATCCAGGACAAAAACAAGTACAACACCCCCAAATACAGGATGATTGTGCGCATCACCAACAGAGACATCATCTGCCAGGTATGTAGTACATGGGGTGTATAGCGGGCTGGGGTAGTAAGGAAAGGGTGTGGTGTGTGTGACGCACTGATTTATTCCCCTACTTTTGTCAATTTCAGTTACTGCATGAGGGACATGTAGCTTTCTTGCCAGTTCCAGCTTCCTTCCTCACAGGTGCCAGTCACTGAGGTCACCTCTGTGGTATCATTGAACTGTAGATTGCATATGATTTTTAAAGCTCCATGTAATCCACAGGGGTGAAGCGCTTGGCATCCCACCCTATGGCGCACTGTTGTAGGTGCCCATAAAATCCCATTTCAGAAGAGCGGCCTATTTTTAAGTTGGGGCTTCACAATTCCTGGTCCCCATGGTGACTTGGAGAACTCTGGTGACTGGGCCTTTGGGAGCTACACAACTTTATGTAGCCAGTGACGGGGGCACATGCTGAGCTGGATGGAGCAGAGGGTGGTTTTTGAGGTATGGTGACTGGAAAGGGGGTATGATTGAACCCTGAGCTATTCGTACAGCAAGTCTGGGTTGAGGAGAAGGCTGCAGCAAGGGGCTGCACCAGTTTTTGTGCCACAATTTGCTGCACTCTGCCTGAGGAATAGGGGAATAGTCTGAAAAGCCTTTTGGGGGGGGAATAGTCAAGATCACATATCAGAGTGCCCACACTCTGTGCCCTTACCAGGGCAATGCACTCTAGAGACTGGCTTCCTTCTCTGATTTGTTGTCTCTGGGGACACAGGTGTCATAGCTTGGGGTGGAAACATGGATCAGTTTTGCTTTCACCACCATGGTTTTAGCCCCTGGTCTGGACAACTGGCTCCATAGTGGACTGGTAAGGACTGCTTGCCCAACGGGTACTACATCTGCTCATTCTTTGGGAGCCCTAAAATGCAGCCAAGTGACTGGAATCCTGAGGCTGCATGCACAGCACATGGAATTATTTCCTATTGTGGGGAAATATTTTGGGAATTTTAGTTAGGTGTTAAATCTCCTATATTTGATCTTTCATGTACAGACAGATCTTTGTGGATGGACTCCTATTCTTTTTAGAGAGATCACTTGTGGTCATACTGAGATTGCATGATGCCGACCCCTAGTTCTAAGGGAGTTTGTCCAGGCCTGGTTTAAATCCAATTGTAGTCGTTGACCCCCTTAGGGAGATTTCCTCTGTTCTTGTCCCAGTCACACCAGGGCAATAAGTGATGGGAATGTTTGACACCAGGATTTAGCAGCAGGAAACTTGAGGTCCTAACCCTAAGCACCATATTCAGTTGTGTAGAATCATGGACAGCAAAAAGGTTCTATCCCTTCCCCACACTACTAAATGACAATGGTCCCTTGTCCTTCTAGTAGGTGAGTATCTCTGGAAAAAAAGGCTACTGATTGCTTCTCTTGTCACCTCTCCATTCTCAGCCTGTATATTAAAAAGGAAAGAACACCCTTGAAGTCCTATTTTTGTAAGAACCCTGTGCGGTCCTCCCTGTGAGTGCCGCCATGCAAGGGATTATATCAAACGTTTAGATGCTAAGACTTACAATCAAGTTTTAAATACACCAAGCATAGGTTCTTCACCAATATAAATCTGCTTTCATCTATTCCTGGAGTTCCAATTCAGGTTTCTGGTTGCAACATACAAGTAAGCTAACATTGTATGTTTGCCAATAATATGAATGTTTGCAATCCTATGTTTAATCTTTTTGGAATACAGGCAGTCCCCGGGTTATGAAAATGATCGGGTCTGTAGGTTTGTTAAGTTGAATTTGTATGCAAGTTGGAACAGGTACATTTTTTTAAGTGCAACTCCAGCCCCTCATTTTTTGTTTTGGATAGCAGAGAATGGTTAACCCCCTGTAAAGTTTGTTTTGCTGTATGTGCCCCTGTTAAGAAGATTTCACCTCACCTTCTGTCCCTGTAACAATTGGAAACAAGGATTGGTGATAAAGCTTCAGTGTAGACACCTTTTTCCCATGATCACTCTTACAAGAGTGAATTTCCCTTCCTAGGGGTAGATTTTCTCTCGCTTCCTGTTGCCTCAAGGATAGGAAGTGAGATTAAATCTTAATGAGCTTACAGACAGCAGTAAAAACCCACCATGACCCGCAAGAGGCAGGTACCCCTCCTCTGCACGTCTAACCTGAGCCAACTTCCTTGTAATGTACGTAAAGTACTACGAACCAGACTCAAAAAGGCGGGCACTCCTCGTGGGCACAAGCGCGGCAGCATTACAACGACTGAAATGCTGCGCAGTACACTTTGGTTGCAGCCTGGCACCCCCTGCTATACAGTAATGGCCTCTGTAAGTAGGAGTTGTATGCAAATCGGATGTTTGTAACCCATGGACTGCCTGTAGATGAATGTTGTGTTGCTGGTTACTGTTCACATTTTTAATACTTATGTTTGCAATGACTCTTGCAGATTGCCTATGCCAGGATTGAAGGTGACATGATTGTCTCTGCTGCTTATAGCCACGAACTTCCCAAATACGGTGTGAAGGTTGGGCTGACAAACTATGCTGCAGCCTATTGCACTGGTCTGCTGCTGGCTCGCAGGGTATGTATACTGGAGTTTGGTGACAACACTGGATAATCCTTGGCTTTGTTTCCTTTCTGAGTTTATTGTTGATGCTTGACAGTGACTTGTCACACCAGTGTTGGCCTTGACATGAAGTGACAGGTTCTTGAGTATTAACAGTAAATACAAATGAACTGTAATGCATGTTGAGGTGGCCTTCTATTTTCAAATAGAAAACATGGAACCTTTCTAGTGGGCACCCTCTACTTCTGACCTGCGGGGGATCCGCACTTGGAATTTCCACTAAACAGCTGTTGGAAAAGTGTTGGCATTTAGTAGTCACCGATTGTTAGTGTTTGGCTCCATCTTGGTGAAGAAAACCAAGCAATGTTACTGGTGCTAGCCTCATAACTGCTCATAACAGATCCGTACAACTGAGGATTACATGCAGGAACTCTACCAGTTGGTACAGTTTGCATGTTGTATTTGATAATGGATGATTGCTATTCTCAAAATATTTACTATTGTCGTCATTTTAATGCTTTGCTTTGTTGCACTAAATTCTGAAAACGTTCTGGCTGTCATCTGAAATTCAACCAGATCTACAAACGTCTCAAAGCCCCTTCTGCAATACTTGTTCAGTTGAGTGCAGCAATACATGGCAACTATTTTGCTGCAGCTGGTTGCATTTTTGTTCTGCTCTGTTTAGTTTGGGGGTTTAGAGTCTTCAATGTGGATGTGAGCAGCAAATGCCTATGAGCAGACACTAAAGCCAGGTATGTACTTTTTTTTTTCAGTTCACCCTGCAGGCTGAACGAAGAAAATTGAATGCTTACTGGCGTTAAGGCACAAATCAACTGTGGGCATTTGTGTAGTATAGCTGCTGGCTCACAATACCCGAATGGAGCTAGCAGGTAATTGGTTGTTAGCTCTGTTCATCTGAGAGTTTTCCAAATGGCTGCTTTGATCAGCTGATGGAGGGATGCCAACAGCAGCACCCATGCAGTGAATTTGGTCGTATACCCGGCTGAAAGCATGCCTGCAAGAATCTTCAGCTTTGATCACTTTATTCTGTGTTGTCCTACTCTCAGCAGGCAGAACTTGTTTTGAGCCCAATTTTCCCCCAGTAGTTACTGATCAGTGACACTGAAGTGTGCCTGTGTTCAGGGGCTGAGTGGGAAACTTTATTAGCAACTAGCAATGCTGTGGTAGTGGGTATCTTCTGTACCTGGATAAACTCAGTGGTACGTCAATGCTGCTTGGTGGAGGAATGGCAAGTCTGGTTGTCTACTTTCAGGTTTCAGTTATGATTAAAACCTAAAAAAAGAAATCCCCCCCCCCCCTTCCACCTGTGCAGTAACTACATTCTCGGGTCTGAAACCTTCCCAATGCAAACAGAGCAGGTTACCACCATCAGAGAGGTAAGTTCCTGGCTGGGAGAGCTTGGGTTTTGGTGAAGGTGACTTTCAGGGCCCATTCGCATTGCTTTGTAATGCATGCCAATGCATGATGTGTTGATGTGGTGCCATTTATTGTGATTGGTACCCTCATGCATATTACTGATGTGTGGTACATGGGCATAAATGTGCACCATTTTTTTCTGTTGGGCGCCATTCAAATGAATGCACTCTAGTATTGTAAATGGGCCCTAAATGTTCATGGCAAGGTGAGATCTAACTTGTGTAAATATGGAGGTGGTTCCTAGAAGTCTAATTGTAGAATGAGATCCACCATCATGCAAACTACGTTGGTGTCTTTCTGCCTGTGTAAGATGTGACGACAATGCAGAGACAATGAGTTGGGTGTTGCAGATGCTGTTGGATAGCTGTACTGTCCTTGGTGCAGAAATTGGTTGATGACTTCTCTATTTGGCTTCATTTAGCTGCTGAACAAGTTTGGCCTTGACAAAATCTATGAAGGCCAAGTGGAAGTGACTGGAGACGAGTACAATGTGGAAAGCATTGATGGCCAACCTGGTGCCTTCACCTGCTATCTGGATGCCGGTCTCACCAGGACCACTACTGGAAACAAAGTCTTCGGCGCACTCAAGGGAGCCGTAGATGGAGGCCTGTCCATTCCTCACAGGTGAGCTATCTAGATCTTTCCTACCTGGCTGTCTTCATTCCGAGCTTCTGCTACTGATCCTGGAAGTTCAGAATGTATGTTGCCTGTGTGTCGTAAATGATTAGGTTTCCACTTTCTGGAAATTGAAGATTTGTGCTAGCACATCCCTATAGGCTCCCCACCCTGAACACAGTGTTTGGGATTGTCTGCCTATACACATGCACGTGTTTACGCAGGTCTGGCATATTCCCATGTACAACCATTGAATTCCATAGCTGACAGCACACAGCACCTGTGGCTCCAATGCAGGAAAAATATGCGCAAATCTGTTGTACAGGTCCATGTGGCTTTTGCATGAACACTAACTGTTATAAGTGTGCAATTTTCTTCTTCCAGTTGTCCTGTCCTATTTGTTATTGGAAGGATAGAGGGAAGAGCTTCAAATAGACCCAACACCTGTGTGGTGATAACTGTCAAAAATTGTCTGCCCCTTTCTGTTTTAGTTATGGTGATAGAAAGAAGTGAGTTGGATGACCAGTGGGGTCATAGCAGTAAAAACCTGAAGGGAGTGACCGGCAGGGACATGGCAGTAATAACCCAAGGTTCTTATTCTTCGACAAGCAATCTAAAATTCATGCAGGTTATAGATCGGATGCTTGCCTTTTCTGGGTTTTAGCATTTTCTTGCTCCAGTTTGTTTTTTTCCTTTCCTAGACCTCCTAAATTATGCAGTTCCCAGTAATAAAATGTGTATCCCAGCTTAGTACCCCTGTCTCTGCTTGTTAAAGCAGAACTATGAGGTGAGTGAAAATCACTCATCCTCATAGTTCGAGCCAACGTGTGACAATGAAACTGTCACGTCGGCTCAATAGATTGGGAAGTGAGCGAACACATACAGTTTCGATCCTGTCCCTGCAGAGAGCCATGACTGTCACGGCTCCCTGCAGGGATCCCCCCTCCCCTGTCTGATCCTCCAGCGCTGGCGGAACGGACGGGAGGAGGTGGGTACAGCTGGCTCGGCCTCTAGATAGGCAGAGCCAGCTGTCAATCGGCCAGCTGCGTTCAGCAGAGGACACCGCGAGCTCGTACGGACAACGTAAGTGACACTTTTGCACAATCCAGAGTGTGGCTCGGGGTTACCGCTATTGTTACTGAAAATTAACACCGAGCCACACTCGGGAATACCACCAGGGAGGTTAAGGTCCTAAATATTAAAACACCAGATTTGTTTTCTGAAAAGCTGAGAATGAAATGTTGGTGGTTGCAATTTTTTTGTTGCACTATATTAGTGGAACGGTTCATCAAACCCAAATTTTCAGTCACAAACTTTTAATGAGCTTGGAAAGGAAAATAATTAACCTTTTGCAGGGGGCTACCCAGCACTGCAAGGTTTAAGTGCTTGATTTTTGTCTGGGGTTAAAAAGTTATTCTTGCCTGATCCACAGAGCTGACTTGCTCTTAGACCGGTCCCTTCAACCTTGCTCCCCCACTGCTGCAGTGGTGTAAGGTCCCAAAGTCATCACCTATACACTTTATAGGACATGAGGATGCCAGGGGCCATACCATTGCTGTGGAGGAGGCAGGCAAGTGGATCTGAGGTTCAGGTATATAGTTTTTGAACCTAGGCAAAATTGAGCACTTAACCACTGAAATGGGGGCAACCCCCACACTGCAAGGGTTAAGATTTTTTCCCCTCTGAAGTTCTGCTCTGTACATATATGCAGTATAATACCCAATTCTATATAAAAGATGAGCTTGTGCTGTTTAAAGGCTGAACATGTCAAGCTTCAAAATTGCATGCACCCACAAAATGATAGTGGTACCCAAAACTGTCCATGGGTTATGCTACCAGAGGTTTGTTCATGTTAAAATGCACATGTAGACTACATAAAACCCCCCAGCATTATATATTTTTGGAAAGCATAAACCCTGTAATCAGTTTTGAGTAATGGTGAATGCTGGCCCTAGAATTCTTGCTCTCGTCATTTGTGGCACAGTTGTCGCATTTGTAGTTTGATGATCTGCCGTGTTTGTGTTCAAATGTGCTGGGAGTATTGCTCTTATTTTTTGGGATGCACAGAAATTTCAGCCGAAAATTGCACTTTTGGCAAAATGCCCAAATTGCCATGACAGCCGAAATTTAATTGTCCCTAGCTTTTCCTGCTGGGTGCCGGTCTGTCTTCCAACGCAGCAGCTGGCACCCAGCGGGGAGGAGAGATGGTTTTAGGGTGCCGAGCGTTGCAGGAGGCCCAGCTCTTCTACCATGAATGTCTGGTGGTGGCTCTGGGCTCCTTTTGAAACACCTTATGGTTTACTTTAGAAGGCTGCCAAGATCAAGTGCCATACACCATATAACTTGTGCACGCTGGTGTACATTGTTAACTCATTGCACCATTTGCTTTTAAAGGAGAACTATGGTATTTTCCCCATAGTTCTCCTAAGGGTCACGGGAGGACATATACTAGCGTCCTCCCGTGACCCAAAGCTCAGTATACAGTGAGCTACAGCTTGCGGTATACTGAGACCGTGGCGGCCGGGATAGATCCCGACACTACTGTGTCATTACACTGTGACATTACCACCCAGCTGCATGAGTGACAGCTGGCTTTGCCTATCTAGAGGCAGATCCTGCTGTTTCCCGCCCCCTCCCCGTCCGTTCCTCTAGTCAGCGCTTGAATCCCTGCAGGGAGCCGTGACTGGCGGTCACAGCTCTCTGCAGGGACACGATCGAGAAGTGAGCAAGCGATGGTATGTGTTCGCTCACTTCCTGATTTTCTGAGCCGACTTGTGACAGTTTCATTGTCACAGGTTGGCTAGAACTATGAGGTGAGTGAAAATTCGCTCACCTCATAGTTCTCTACTTTATCATGGGTCACAATTATGCTTGATTCAACTCTATACAAGGACATGTAATGAGGTGTTTCAGATTTGCCGCACCTCAATGTACTTGTATGGTGTGAACAGTTCACTTTAAGCAGGTCATTAAGAAAAATGGGGCTTTTCATTGCTTCCCTCTTTCCTAAAAGGCTGTTTGCATGGCTGCCTTTCTGATCCATTGGCTTTAATATGTAGTCACTGACCTGGAACAGGTAAATCGCATCAAACTTGCTGCATGCGTCTGATCCAAAAGCATTGAAGCCAGAGACTGACTAGTAGCATTTTCTAGAGGGGCACTAGCGTATCCCCTTTTTCTTACAGCACAGGTTTTCTTAACAATACAGGGATATCTCTAGTTTTAGGGCCCATAACATCTATGCAGTTCAGTAATGTCAGTTACCCAGTGGACCTGGACCATGCATGCGTTTGTGCCATGCATTCTCCATGGCATCCTAACTTACTAAGGGAACAGTTTTGTTTTATTCACTGCAACATGCTACTGTTCATTGTGGTCGGTATAACCAAAAATGGTGCAGGTCAGTCTGGTGTGGACAGCCCATTCAAATTGGCTTCAACACCACACACTTTAATGTGTAAGGTAATGCTGCTTAATTTCAATGCAATGGACTGCCTAGGTGTAAATTGACTTTATTCTGTTCTCATGAAAAACTTGGACTGGTTAACTATTTTCTCTCCCTGATCTGGAGATTTTAAATTGAAAGCTTTTTATCTATAGTTTTCGCCTCAAAAGTATTTTTATTGTACCTCCCTTTTTTTATGTTTTTATATATATATTTGCTTTTTTATATTTGGTGATTGCTTTTTCAGACAGGAAGGAACAGGAAGCTTTGTGTGCTTACATTTTACACTTTATAATAGCCAGACCAGACCTGGTGCCAAAATAGCTTTCCAGTGCAATCATTGTATTTGTAAGATTTAGAATTAAATGACAATTGGTATATCATTTTCGCTTAATTTATTTCAGCACCAAACGCTTCCCCGGCTACGACTGCGAGAGCAAAGAGTTCAACGCAGAAGTCCACCGCAAACACATCCTGGGCCAGAATGTGGCGGACTACATGCGTCTTCTAATAGAGGAAGATGAGGAGGCATACAAGAAGCAGTTTGCCCGGTATATAAAGAATGGTGTCACAGCTGACCAAGTACGTAACAAGTGCTGTCATTTTAAGTGCTCTATATAGTGCCTACTGGAGGGTCTTTAGTGTAGTTAGTGATTTGCATTGCATTATGAATTAAAGTACAATGAAACCTTCATGTTTTTTTTGCATATGGCTACTGCTAGCGAGCAGTTATATGCAAAAACATTTAAAAGAAAATAAGTTGCCTAAAACTGAAGATTCTCAAGCAGCTGAGCAGGATGAGGCGAGCGCTTGCACAGTACAGATCTTCGGCGGGGAGAAGAGGAGATACCGTGGAGCTGAATGCACGCAGCCAGCAGTGTGCATGTCTAAGGTTTCTGCCTGGCTAGTAGGTCTAGACTTGAAATTTTAAGCCTTGCTTTTAGGGGATAGAACACTTATAGTAGTATAAGGCCCCGTTCACACCAGGGCGTTTCGCCGCATGTTTTTTTCTGGGTTGAAACACATGCAAATCAAAATCCCATGTATTCCTATGGGGGGCTGTTAACGCAAAAGGGCTTAATCGTGCATAACAATATGCCAGTTTAAAATGGCCCATGTTCTTTTGTGGCGCCTATCGTTTTGCTCTATAGACTTCATTGGAGACATGCTGATCGGTGCATTTTCTTGCCCCTTTTTTTAGTGTTTTTTTGCAGCTGAAACTGCTTTTCATTGGATAACTGAAAACTTATTGGCTCTTGCATATAAACATAAAATGCCTGTAAAACACAAACACTGTCACCCTAATGTGAATGGAGACTTTTTTTCAATAATTAATTCAGATCACACACATATACATTGCCCAGCAAAGCATTGCTTTAAGGTGCCCACACACCTTGCAATAATCGTGGGAAATCCCACGATCGTACGATTATCGTAAGGTGTGTGGGAGCCGTGCGACCTCTGCTACTGTAAGGTCACACGACTTTTATCTTGGGAACATGTTTGAAAACCCGACGAGAATCATACGATTTTCAGCGGGTGTGTAGCATGTTCGTAAGATAAAAGCCGGTGTGCGCAAGCGCACACTACCCGTTCAGCATTGCGGTCATCGGAAAGCCCGCCCCCTCGGACTCTAGCAACTGTTCATCTACTAGCGTGGGGGAAGGTAGTAGCTTTATTTGCTGTGTTTGTGGAGACACACACATTACTAGCACACACACAAAGTTGACTGTATAGCACTCTGGGAAGGGAGTCACTCTTAAACAGGAAGTCAGGACCAGTGCTCAGGAGACAGCTGATTCTACAGGAAACAAACTTTCAGACAGCAGTAGCATCCATTGTTAGTGATTTCGTCAACATTTGAAATGCATTGGCACAAATGAAGGTCTGTGGAGATGTCAGAGAAAGCCAGGGTGTGGCACATGTAGTCTTTGAAAGTTAAACATGGTGCATGAAGCCCAGACCTAAACATGGGCATGTTGTGGTGTCTGGGCTCACTTCAGAATTTGTGGCTCACCCACTGCAATGGAAGAAGAGTCCATGAATACATGTGGAGCTGTAGGATGACATGTCCTTAACTGGATTTCACATCGCAATTAAATATTAATTTGTAGGGTTACTTACCCTTCTGAACATGCTCTAATCTACCAGATGTCAAAGAAAAAAAGTGAATGTTCTTTTTCCTATGACACCATTTGTCAGAATATGAAGAAAACAGTAGTGGATTCCTTGATCGAAGCTCATTGTTGGAGGAATCTTGTTCTCTCCTTGCGTAATATGCAAATGGTCATGTCAAGTTAATGACTCCAGGTAACACTCGGCTGCTCTGCATGGTTACTGATGGTGAACGTGCCTAGTCATGTTAGCTGTGGGGGGGCTCTCACATGAATTGGAGCTGTTTTTTCTGTCTTCCAGGACAGCATGCAAGAGATTTGAGATTCCAGCAGGACAGGTGATGCATTGCAAGGTTAAAAGGGCCAGCCCATGCCAAATTGTTTTGCTTTGGAACTCGGGTGGTGGAATCTATAGGCTTTCACGCTGGCCTGCTTCCTCTATCTTTGTCTTTAGAGGTCCAGCTCCCCTCCCATGTTTTGAAGAAGGCCATGAGTATGAAATCCCCCCCCCAAAAAAATCTGTGTGCCTATTGCTGCTTCATGACTGGATGGAGTAATAAATGTCTGGATGCTTGGGCTTTCTGTTCCAAACCCTGTGAAGTATGGGAGGAAGGATAGGAGGTATGGGTGAGCCATTTCCTCTGGTGGGTTCTTCAGAGGATGAAATTGCGTCGGCAGTTCTATTTAAATTACAGCTCAGTGGTTCAGATATATCGAGACCTGCATGACGAGGGCAGGGTGTGGCTCTTATAAGATTAATTTATTCAATAACAGGAAGTTAAATCTGGAAAATAGACTTTTTATTCCAGGATAAAAAAAAGACGTAGGTTTCCTTTTGACTTGAGATGGTCATGGTCCAGATGAAATGCTCTCTTGGATGCTCCTTTCTCTAAAACAACCAAAGAATGCAGATCTTTCATGTAAAGAGAAACCTTTTAACTGAAGATGGTCAAGGCATAAAAAAAAAAAAACTAGCTGTAAGAAAACTTGTTGAGCTCGGTGGACAGATCACCTGTAATGCTTTCAGGTTGGGGCTGGTTGAATACTGAGGCATGCTGGGATTCATCAGCCCACCCACCTTGGGATGTCTTGTGAATATTCTGAAAGATCCAGAAAATTCCAAAGCGCCTGACGTTTGTGTTGGGACATCTCGATGATCAGAAAGCGATGATTCCTGTACAGCAAGAGGAGCAGGTTCTTGGGTTTTACTTGCGTGTTTGTGGTAAGAAAGACATTAGGCAAGTTCTGTCTTATCCTGAATCTTAAACCCCCAAATGTATCCACGGGTTACAAGACATTCTGGGTGGATTCAATTTTGTTGAGTCAAGACTATTTCGGCAGATTGCTTTATGGCTATCCTACTTTAAGATGCTCGTCCGGCCATAGCCATCAGGGAGAGATGTTAACATATTCTCAGCGCTTGCTTTTTGGCCTTTCCACAGCCCCGAGTATAATCTACACGGTAATAGAAGTCTTGGCACCCTTATGTCTTAGAGCAATTTGCTTCTGGTTGCTCCATCTCGGAAGCAACTGCAGTTACACCTTCAGATGACCCATGATTGGCTAGTAGACCTGAGGCATTCCTTTATCGGGGGGATATCTATATGCCACCATCCCAGATAGTGTAACTACAGCGGCATCAAACGTCCAGGACCAGAGGAATAATTGTGCAAATCTGTCATCTTCAGTTATCAATTTGTTTCAGAACTTTGCAAACTGCTGCACTTGCCCCAGGAATGCAGAGACTTTGCTGAAGAAGCAGCCTGATGTGTGACTTGTGAACTGTATTACCCCAAAGCTGCCAATCAGATTATAAGCAGCATTTTTATTCATCTGTGCAATAACTGCTCATTTCCCCATGTTTTATCCTATTGAAACGATGCTATCCTATTAAAAATTACAGAAAAATAGCTATTGACCTGCCAGAAATCCAGAGTGCTCCTTGCTATCCGTTTAGGCTGACAATACTGTGCCTCTTCTGAAATCAGAAGCAGCGTTGTCAGCCCTACCTGCTGGGCTACAAAGTCTACCTATCCACATGATTCCTTTTACCAGTAAAACAATGCTTGCCTCAGGCGAACGGAGCTCCAAGTAGCTTCCCCTGCAAGGATTAAGACCCCATTCACACTGATCTCCAAAATCGCTCAATGTAGCTCGTCCAATGCATTTCAATGGAGCGGCTCACATCTCACAGCTCAAGGTCACCTGTAGCTCGCCGCTCAAGCTTGTAGCTCGAACATGACCTACTCTTTGTGCGATTTGGCCCAATAGACTTTAAGGCCCCATTCACACTGAGCGGATTGCTGCGCGGTTTCCGGCACGATATCGCACATTTTTTGGTGCGTGATATCGCAAGAAGTCGCCAGCCAATGATTTTCAATGGAGCTGTCTTCATCTACAGCCCCATGTCGCAAGTCGCTTTTTGTGGCGGATTTTGCGCAATTTTTTTCTTTAATGCAGCCCGACGGTGAAGGTTGTGCTACTGTTGCTGGATCGTCGATCCAAGGTCGCACTATCCCGGTCGCGCGGATCTGCTCCAAAAGGTATGTCGCTTAGTGTGAATGGGACCTTATGGTGGAGTGTATCCACTCCAAAAGGTATGTCGCTTAGTGTGAATGGGACCTTATGGTGTAGCTCTGTCGCACTACAGAAGTGTCACTTTTGCACAGAAATATAAGAAGGAAGGAATGATGTCACATCAAGACTGGTTACAGCCCAATGTAGCAGCTTGAAGTCCCTGCGAAAAGTCGCACTATGTAGCACGTCAAAATGTGCACTGTAGCTCAATGTCGCTCGGCTCAAAATCTCTCGGAAAAAAAGCACTTTTTTGGATGTAGCTCAGTGTGAATGGGGTCTAAGAGTAACAAATTCTGTGACATGCTCTAGAGCGGTGTGTGTCAACCTTTTTTCAGTCAAGGCGTCCTTTAAAAGTATGCAAAATCTCAACTATCTCCAGTCTAAAATGTAAAAAAAGACTGTTTCCCCCCAAAATCTATACCAGCCCCTATCCTATATAGGACTCTGGTTTGGATTTAAAGTGGGGAGAACATGCAAAAAAGTGGTCCCCCTCCTTTCACATCAGAAGCCCCCACTTCCTAATAGAGCCCCACTTTCACATCAGTCACCCCCCTTCACTTCAAGAGTCTCCCCTTAACATCAGAGTCCTACCTTATAATCCTCACTACAGCGTGGCTAGGGCAGAATGGCAGAACAGGTCAGGATGAAGGTGAACTTCTGGATAATGGTGGAGATCCTAGAGGCCACCCGCTGATTAGTGTCATTTGTCAAATTTAAAGGCACCCGACAGTCGGAATTCACCCCAGGGTGCTGCACCACTATGGTTGAGAAAGGCTCCTGAAGTGTAGGAGAAAAAGGTTTGAGGTGCATTTGGGTAATGCCTGGACATATAGTTGGAGAGTGTTACGATCTGATATCTAAGTAACTTAGCGTCAGTCTTCTTGGCATTCCGAACAATTAATGTTCTTAGCACACAATGGGCAAAACATCACTGCATTACTTTTGTCCACCAGCAGAGGGCAGGAGCTGCTCAGTCATTAGCTGATATGCATATACATAGCTTGTGTGATAGGAATGGTGATGGGAGATTTCATCAACAAATAGGGCAAACTTTAACAGATTTTTACACAGATGTACACGTTGGGCCACCTTTTGCCTTCAATACTGCAGCGATTCTTCTTGGCATTGACTCCACGAGCTGTTGAAAGGTGATGCGAGGAATCTGACACCATGCCTGATGAATAGCACTGCCCAGTTCTGTGAGATTTGATGGTTGTGGAACCAGCTGCCTGATGGCTCTTTCAACTTCGTCCCACAAATGCTCAATTGGATTGAGATCTGGTGATTGGGGGGGCCACCTAAGCAAAGTAAAGTCTCCCTCATGTTCTTGAAACCACTCCTGCACAATAATTGCACCGTGGGATGGTGCATTGTCTTGTTGGAAGAAGCCATCTCCATTGGGATACGCCATCAACATGATAGGATGAACTTGATCGGCAACGATACTTTGGTATGTTGTGCTATTCAGACGTTGTTCCACACGAATTAAAGGGCCAAAACCATAACACTGCCCCCACCAGCTTGAAGGGTTGTACTCATGCATGTGGGGTGCATGCTTTCATGCTGTTCCCGCCAAATTCTCACTCTGCCATCTGCATGATGCAACTGGAAACGTGATTCATCGGACCACATGACTTTTTTCCAATGCTCGACTGTCCAATCCTTGTGTTCCTGTGCGAATTGGAGACGTTTTATCTTGTTAACTGCAGACAGCAAAGGTGTTCGAACAGGCCTTCGGCTTCCATATCCCATACGATGCAGTGTACGGCGAACAGTGCGTTCAGAGATCATTTGAGAGGATCCCTGATTAAGATCTGCAGTAATTTGATGCACTGTTGCCCTTCTGTTGTCTTGTACCAGTCTTGCCACTCTCCGTTCTGCCCTAACATTGACTAGTCGCTGACGGCCACAATTCGCACGTTCAGACCCAGATTTTCGGCTGACAGTCCAGTCTTTAAACACTTTAACAACAGCTGCTCTTGAACATTTAACGAATTCTGCTGTTTTGCTGATACTCGCTCCATGGCTCCGAGCGCCAACAATCATCCCACGTTCAAAGGCTGTTAAATCGCGTTGTTTACCCATATCTTCAGAAAAAAATCACTTCTACTGTCGTGGTAAACAACCTGCTTCCCTATTTATAATGGTCTGGCCCTCTGGCAACTTCAGCGTGAAATTATAGCTAATTTGCCTACAAACGTCAGGTGGTCATAATTACTGGCCACTCAGTGTATGTGTATATGTGTGTATATATATATATATATATTAGTATGTATTTTAGTAAATAAAAATAATTAATCTGCTGGGGATCATACAAATTATGTGTCACAGATGCCTGGATTTACACAATCCTAATGCATGTATTTATTATAAACAAAATGAATTGCGGATTCTTCACTATTTGCACAGCAGTAGCAAACTGCATTTTTGGTTGACCTTGTCTGAATCCTCAGCCAAAGCCATCACATAAAGGATGAGTACCTTTTCTCTGACCCTTTTCCTTGTGTATGTGTATTTCAGCTTGAGCTACTGAGCACTGTAAGTGTAATTTTTACAAAACTAAGACAAGAAAAGGGAAAATTGTCTGAATTTCACCAGATGGCAAAATAAACAACTACATAATGTTCACCTGGCTAAAATATTTCTCATTTCTTCACTTCCGGTCTTAATAAAGAAAACATGCAAAACCACTTAAAGGAGAACTATGAGGGGAGTGCTTTTCACTCACCTCATAGTTCTAGCCGACCTGTGACAATGAGACTGTCACAGGTCGGCTCAGTAGATCGGGAGGTGAGCGAACACATACCGGCGTTCGCTCACCTCTCAAGCCCGTCACGGCTCTCTGCCGTGACAGGGGAGGGGCTGGATTCCTCGCTCCGATCCGCCAGCGCTGTCTGGCGGAAGGGGGCGGGTACAGCTAGCTCTGCCTCTAGATAGGCAGAGCCAGATGTCAGTCACACAGCTGGGCGGATCCCAGCACAATTGTCGGGATCCGCTTCAGCATCTCAGTATATCGCGAGCAGCAGCTTGCGGTATACTGCGGCATCTCAGTATACCGCGAGCTACGGCTCGCGGTATACTGCGGCGTCTCAGTATACTGCGAGCTACAGCTCGCGGTATACTGAGCCTAGGGTGACGGGAGGACGCTAGTTTGTGTCCTCCCGTTACCCTAAGGAGAACTATGGGGAAAATCCCTAACCCCATAGTTCTCCTTTTAAGCTTGGGTCAGCGGTCACCAGATGAATATCAACTGCCTAACCTCAAACACTATCCCAGATTTTGAGTGTTCCGTGTGTGAGGTTAGATCATTGACGGGGCAGCAGCTCTCAGACTTCAGATGAGGTTTTGAAAATATATAGTTACATAGTATTTGAAGTTGAAAGAAGAGTGATCCATCAAGTTCAACCTTTGTGTGAATGTGTGTATATGAGTCCCTGTGTGGTCTAATATACAGGGGTACAGGTACTCTTAAATACTAGTCTCTGAGGAAGGTATCTAATTGAATTTTGAATGATTCAATGCTCTCAGCTGATACACTGCTTGTGGCAGAGAATTCCAAAATGTAACCGCTCTAACTGAAAAGAAGCCCCTACGCCCTTTGTGGTTAAATCTTTTCTCCACCAGTTTTAGGGGGTGGCCTCTAGTTCTTGTTATGAAGTTTACAGTAAAAAAATTATTGCTGTTGTTGCCATCGCCACTAAACATTTTGTACATCAAAATCATGTCCCCTCTTAATCTCCTCACTTCCAGCGTGAAGAAGTTTAAATTTAGTAACCTCGTCTCAAAGCTTAGGTCCTCCAGACCCTTAATTGGTTTCGTTGTCCTTCTCTTGACTCTTTCCAGCTCAAGGACATCTTTTCTGTGGATTGGTGACCAAAACTGAACCACATACTCAACATGAGGCCAAACCAGCGATCTATAAAGTGGCAAAATGATTGCTTTGTCTTTACAGAACATTCCCTTTTTAATGCATGAAAATACTCTGCTCGCTTTGTTTGTTGCAGCCTGGCACTGCCTGCTGTGGCCTACTATGACCCCCAAATCTTTTTCTATTTCTGACTTCCCTAGTAGAGTACCCAATAATATGTATTCCTCTTGCCTATTTCTAACCCCAAAGTGCATTACTTTACATTTTCCAACCCTAAACCTCATCTGCCATATAGTTGCCCACTCCCCTATTTTATCCAGGT